ACCTTCTTCTCCTGTTTATTCAGTCAGGTAATACATATTTTATTGGCTTTATATCTACTTGTTTGGCTACGTATCCTAACAACCTTATTTCCTGTGTCCTGGTTACATTCTTTATGGAGGATTCTTCGTATAATTCGTTCTTCTTTGCCACAAATTATCTACCTTCTTTTTTCCAAAGAAATTTTTTATTTAATTTCGATATCTCCTTTCCGTAGGTGGCTACTAACCGGATTATCATTCTATAGACTTCCTCTTCTTTAATTTATTGAAACATTCTTGGATCTCAAAAGATGAAGCATTTCTCTCATACACTTCACCTCTTTGGCTATTTTTTCTTCTATTGCCTTTGTCATTTTTCCAATATCGCTTATTGTGGCTCCTTAATAGCTAAATTTGGTAACTTTTTCAAACTTGACTCTGATTCTTCTATTCTGCCTGTTCCCTGACAGGTTTTCTACTAATATGATTTTGTTTACTTCATTTCTTTTGCTGCTTTCTCTAACTTCTTTGTTATTATTTCTGATTGTTCTCTTTTTTTTTGCTGGAATTACCAAATCTGTGTAAATAATCAATTTGTGTTCTTTTGTGAATATATATCGTACTCTTTATCTGAATTCCACTTTGTCAAAAATTATGTTAACTAAGGCAGTCGATAGTGGGTGCTTTATAAACTTAAATTTGTTTGATATTTGACCATTAACTAGTACTTTATAATTTATTCCAGTTAGTGTCATTTTTACTAGTCTTATTAGGTTTTTCTGTTTTCGTAATCGTTGCATTGCCATAATATATATTTTTCTCTTTTTATCTTATCATACCCAAGTAGCAATTTAACGTTGCAGTGACGTTTTTCAAAAAGTTGAGTAACCAAACGTAAGTTGCATGGCCGACCTTACCACAACGTTGTTACAACTCTGTTTTGCACCAATACGGTCAATCATTTTTGGGTTTTTACAACGTTTCAGTATTAATTGTAGGTAACACTCGGTCGTTTTTTAAACGTTGCTGAATTTACCTAAAAACAACTACACCTGCGCCCTCTTGCGCGGCGATGACAGTTTACTTTCCATGGTGTACAGAAAATAGTAAATTGCTTAACCAAATAATTACTGATGGGTAAAATGGACACTTAAAGACAATTTTCTGACAACTACCTACTATACCTCGTATGTTTTAATATTATACTAAAGATACCTTTTTTATATTGTCAAAAATAATGATTTTAAAACATAAATTACCAACGCATTTCATTTTATTGTCAAAAATACTATTAATTTATGCCAAGAAACACTCGCGCCTTTAATCCGTTGCAAATTTCTCAAAACTAAGAATAAAAAAAAATCAAAAAATTATATGTAGATAAACAAATATTTAAACTTAATATTGTTTCAAACGCAAACTAAACGAGACATATATAAATTCTTACTAAAAAACTAAAATAAACCTTTATAATCCTTTGTTTATGTCTCAAATTTTGATGGCCGACCATGTTTCAAAGAGAATTACACTTTAAACATGGCGTAGAAGTATAATAAACAAACTTGGCGCGACAGGAGTTGCTTATCCGACCAAAAACTAAATACTATAACTAACGAACACACCGTCTCAGATTTTGGAACGCGCTTTCGTGTTGTTCAGCTGTCAGTAGTAGTCATTTGTCATAAATGTATAAATGTAATTTGTTTTCAAGTTTGCAAAGAAAATTTAAATTGGAAAGTATGGGCGATTATTTTAAAGTTGTTTATATAAAAAGCACGCAAGAAGTAGAAGCCATACCCCACCAATAGTAAGAAAATGGTACAGTTTACTGGCCCCGCACAAAGGGGCAAGTCCGACAACAGCATTCTAACTCTGGTAGTATACCCCACAAGAAAACGTGGAAAAAATACGAATATCTGGTAAAAGCCACCAATATCCTCCTTTATATGCATGCTTCTGCCCAAGCAGATCAAATATGTGCAGTTAAAGATAGTTGATCTGACTTCAGCACCACAGATGACGAAAATGGAAAAGTAGTTGCCCCAAAATCTATTAGCAAAAGAACAAGTGTTCTCAAAAAAAATATCAGATGTCAGATATTAGATTTTACTAAGCCGATGACAGATAAACCAATAGAACATCGATTCTTTCCTTGGTTTATTCATTTGATTAAGAGTTTCCTAAAAATCGAGTTGTTTATCCTGTATAAATTGTTGGTCCTCTGGAAAATTGGTTGTTTTTCTTAATTCATCTGTATTTAGGTTGGCATTTATTCTTAAAGAAATTAAACTGTCAATCTTCATGTAGACTTGTGCATGTAAAGTTTCTCCACGACATAATCTTTTTTTGCCTGTGATAGAAGGCAGTATATTTAAACAATTCTCATTTATTTCTTTTATATAATTACCTGATTGATGACTCATCTATTTCCTCTAAAACCACATTAATATTGCCTTGTTCTCTGTTTTATATTATTCTATTCTTGATTGCTATTGCCAATATTTTATACACATCATCTCTCTATCAGAGTTATTTTTCTATTTCTATTAATCTGAGATTTTTTCTATCTCCTGGGCATAGTTTTTTCTTCCCACATTGCCTTTATTCATGTTATCCATTTTCTTCTGGTTTCTTATTATTTTTAAACATTCCTATCATTTCGTTTGTCTTATCTATTCTTGATAGTGGTTTATTTTTCTCGTTTTAGTAAAAAATATTTAATGGAAATTAAAATATCTGCCCTTATCCTGATATCATTCACTGTCTTGAGTAATAAAGACAAGAAATCTTTAAACATTTACAATATTAGCGCACCAAAATGCTGGTTCACTTATGACGCAACACATCATGCGTCATAATCGCCAATAGCTTTAGCATTTCTTCAAAACATTCGTTGTCAGACCGGGGCTTTTTTTTATCAATTTGAGGGAAATTGTAGAGTGGAAGGAGATTTTTTAGAGGATATTTTAAGATAATTTTTTTAGCGCTCGGGCGACCCTCTGGTAATTTGTTTTACATTTGATATAAATTATTTCTGTATCAAATTTTCTTAAAGTTCTTGAGGAGTCCTCTAATAAATTTTTAATTTTTGGATGCTTTAAAAATATCGGCACAATTTTTTTCTATAAACTTAAACTAGATAATTAAGTCACAAATTAAAAAAAAAAATTTATGAGGATTTTTATTATGAGGTTACTGTTTTGAGGATTTCTTATTGTCGACTAAGGAAATTAAGTCGTTCGAAAAATAATAATTTTATTTCTGATCCTGTACCTATATTTATTAATTATCCTACATCCTTTAGTACACAATGTATACAGTATTTAATATATATCCCATTTTTTTTTTGTCACAGGATTATTGCCTATGAAACCAAATAACATCTTTGAATATGTCTACACTAAGAAAAAGTTCTATCTACCGTTACAATGAAAGGGATTGGATGAAAAACTATATACAACGACTCATCGTGTTCATGGGAGTTAGTTTCTAATTGAAGAGTGCTCAGTTCTTCAATTCAAGTCGTGAAATTTTCACGATTTCCAAAATAGCACAAAATAGCACAGCCGACTGAGCGATATATCGAATAATTTGGTGAAAATTATTTTCGGTGAACCTTATTTTTAATATCTCCAAGCGAATGAATTCCAAATTTTGATAAATAATTTAAGTTCTTATTATTAACAGATTAACAGTTGGGGATGTTATTAAAAATAAGGATTTAAAATTATTTGCGTGGTTATTTTTATTGGATTGAATAAAAACTAAAGTATTTGTATATAGTGAATTAAAGTAATTTAAATGGAATGTGAGTTCACCAATATTTTGGCCTTGAGATTTGAGAGATTATTTTTTGATGAGTTACACACTAACCTAGTCTCAGTAAAAAAACACGAATATTGTTCAGTTTGTGGTTTAATCACATTTCTTCTCGGCTGCGACTAAATAAAATGTGCTTTTGATGTATTTTTTTATATTAAATTGATATTTTTGTACACTTAGGTACGTATTATACATGGTACAGACAAAATTTAATTATAGATGCCTCCAATAAAGGGTATCTCAGAATATAAGGGTAATCTCTCGGATGCAAATAGAACAAATAAAATTAATATTGCAAATTTCTGTAATTTTTTCACCTACGCAGCCACTCCTACGGACCTATGAAGTACTTAAGTAATTTAACACTCAATACATGCCAAAAAATATATTAACAAAGAAGGAATTTTATTAACATAACTAATAGAAAAAACTTTTTATAGAGTTTTTTTTATTATCCATCATAATAGCAAATGAATAAAATGTGCCAAGTACTTTAAAATTTAAAAGATATCCAGTGTCATGCGTTAGAAACTTGTTATTTTAATGTATCTTAATCCAGAAAATTGGACACATATTCTGAAACTCCCTGTATATCCATATTGATTTTTAAATAATCAATGGCTGCCTACTTTTTTTCATATTTTATGTCATCTATTTTTATTTTTGGTCCTAATCTTTTAACGCATTCCCCCCTAATTTTAGTAGTATGGGTTGATTTAGGCTCATCAGATAAATAAGATTTTTGCCCCACATCCACCATTTTTCATAATGTTATTTTGTGAAATTATTGACATATGGAGGGAGGCCTAAAAGCTCTAGAACAACCGGTATTATTTTTATTAGATCAGATAAATGTAGATGCAGGCATTAAAAGTTTCGATAGTTGACAACATCTTTCCATTTTGCTATCACAATTTCTTAAGTCTGTCTGAAAGTGTATGTATTTCACAAAATACTTTTAAACTCATAATATCTTACCAAGAAACAACTTGTTCTGCACTTAGATATACATTTTTCTTCTTTTTAAATGTAATGCCCTCCTAATAAATATATTTCGAAACATATCTACAAAAAAATTGATTTATATAAATTTTGAAATTCAACATAGAAATGACTGCATCTACTAGGAATTTTGTTAACCAAGTACCTATAAAGTTAATTAATAAATACAATCAAAAGCACATTTTCTGTAAGCCGATTTAGTTATCGGATTCAAGCAATACCAAGTCGTCTGCGACCACGTCAGAAATGTGCAAGTATATGATCCAGTACATCAAGTTGAAGCACACAAAGCACACAGGAAACACTATTCTGGAGTATTTGTCGATGTCCGAGGGTGTGATCCCGTATAGTTTGTTGATATCCTTGTTCGGGTGGATGATGTGCTGCGGAATGGGCGCGCCCGCCTCTTCGTCGGGGCAGCTGCCACCTCGATCGCCGCCTCTGCCGCCGTTCACGGTGCTTTCGAGGGTGCCGCCCTTGCTGTGCGCCTTCGGGTCGTGAACTTTGAAGCGCACCTCCTGGAACAAACGTCCCCACTAACAAGTATCTTAACCGCGATCCGGATCAAAGAAGAAATTTTAGTTAAGAACAGCTGGCGCAACTCAATTTGTCTGAAGTTATTGTTTCTCTTATTCTTTATCTTTTTTAAACCCACTTTACAAACATATGGATTGGAACGCATTATTGGAATAATTTTCTAATTATATGTATTCTATAAATTATTAATAATTATACAATACGTTAACCGAAGCACTAGGCACAGTAAAGATGAGACGCTTAATTATATTTGGACATTGGCGGGATAAAGAAAGTAATTGGTTTAACCAAGAACTGTCGACCCAAGGATGGATTATCTATACAGCGTTTACACATGTGTGGTGACGTTACCGTAGAACCTAGACCTTGTTTACGTTTGTTATCCGTGTGATATTTGTATAAAACTTGGGCATATCTTTTAATTCCTATCAAAATTTCAATATTTTGTTTTATATTGAAGAAAAGCAAAAAGAAGATGGAAACTATCGATAGATCAATATGAAGGATTATCAAGGAAGAATTACCAAACGCCTACAGAATGATTAAAATACCTATTAGATTCACTCCTCCTATCAGAAGAGATAAATGGCCCATAGCCAGGGACAGTAAACATAAAACGAATTTGTTTGTAAACATTTATCAGATATTTTCTTACCCAATCAAATGCAGGTAAAAAATAGTTTTTCTATAATTGACAATCAAATATCTAAAACCATCAGCCTTGATACACCGGAAGAAGTAACTGAAGAGATTAAAAATAATCTTAATCCGAAGTGACTTTTGCATGTAATTCCGTGCGTATGGCTTTTTTCGCCTCAATCTAGCCACTTTGGCATAGAGCATGAATTGCTTTGTTCTATTCTTCTTTACAGAACCTGAACAATGTTGCTTTTTCTGCTGGATGACACTCATCTACCTTCTAAGGCAACAGTGTCCGGTAAGAAGACCTACTTTTATCCTTATTATTCGACGTTTTTGATCCAGTAGGTATTTCGTGAACTTGGCCGATGGTTTCCTGGCCTCTATCAATCTTGGATAGTTGTTTTACCATTCCTGAAACTTACTTTGCATCCAATGTTTAATGGATGCCTTGCACAATGCTATAGAAGGATTCGCGGCCTGTCATGGCCTTTTCTGAGACGTCTCGCCCTAATTTGTCGGCCCTTTTATTGCCCTGATATCGTGGCCTGGTGCCCAGGCTAATATCACTTAGGTCTGCCAGGTTTTCTTTCAAGAAGTCTTTCACCAGTCGTGATTTGTTTGATTTCTGGTGGATGAATTGCTTTTAGAGTTGCTTGGCTATCTAAATAAATAACCTGAGAAGATATGACCATTTTGACATATATGTTTAATACAGCATATAGACTTAAACATGTTCTTGCATGCTTTACAGTTACAGAGGTAATAACGTTGCGAAAATCACAAAAACCGCCGAACGATGTTGTCTTTTAGACCTAACTCTCTCTGACTAATTCTGTTATAATTATTTTAAAAATGTTACTATGTTACTATAGAGATTAAGACCTTTGACAGAAGATTAATGATGGATTCGTTATTTTCAATTCGGGTAACGACAGCAATATTCTATTATTGACCAAGGGCATAGAAACACTAATATAATCCTACTGGGCGACCCCAATGTTAAAATCGCATCTCACTCGTCCGAGGCCACTGGGCTTCCTATATACGGAAGCCCAGTGGATTATCCTTACAAATAATCAAATATAATTCTAGTGGGTATGGGTAACAAGCAAAAAATAAGCTGGATGGCATCCGACCGGATGGCTAGCGTATAGAATTTGATTCAACCGTTTGCCAAACGAACGCGCTACAGTCGCTTTATGTATACTTTTAGAATATATACAGTTTCCTCCTACTCGGCTTCCATACTTTTGGCAACAGTGTTTGTTTATAACGAATAACGCAACTATAGTCTACAATTTAGGAAGTTCACGATGTTTCTTTTATTACATAGTCACATAGTTTATTTCAAACCGCTCATTAGCGGTCCATAAGTTTAGTAGAGTGTAAATAGTAACAACATATTTTACCTAGATATTTCTATTAGAACTTTTAAATATTTTTGATACTTTGGAAAAGTTGCATTAATATGTACGTATTCATTTCAATATAAAGTGACAGCACTCTAAGAGACAACTCGGATTATTACTAAATTTCCACCCTATTCGATATCATATATGTAGGTGTGCCAACTTCTGCTTAACTGTATATCATTACAGACAAATTGAGTCGCAAGCACAGGGACAAAACAATTCATTTCTGAGAATATTATTAGTATTCAAAAAAATTGGAAAAGAAAAAGCTTCTTTGGATCGGTTCAAATATATACTGCCAACAAGACGACTACTCACTGTTTGTTTAGGTGCATGGTCATCTGGACCACCATCTACGTTTAGTTTTTTTTGTTCAGCAATTTTCTGTATTGCTAAAAACCTGTTTTTTCGCATTTGTATTCGTTTCGCCATATAACCTACGGTGGCGTATTCTGAAACAAAAAAATATAGTATTTAGTCAATAAATAAATAAATAAATGAATACAAAATTTTTAATTTATTTTTACAGTAAAATTATTATATATTATGATAATAATAAATATACTTGGAATATTAAGACTTTTGTTCTAAATTAATTCAAAAAATTAAAAAGAAAGTAAAAGGAAACAATTAACTAAAATAAATAAAAAAAAATGGAAACGAACCAGAAAGGCTCTAACCAGCGTATTAAAAGCACTCTTTCTAGAAACGCGACAAAAAACTAAAAAAAATGTAAAGCACAAACGTTTTGGTATTCTCTACTTGCTGTCCTGTTCGTTTTTGAAAAACGTAAGTGCTTTCTAAAATATTTTTGACATTAAAATATTAGCAAATTTATGTTGTTTAATATGTTTTTGATTCGTTATCATTTTGAAATTGGCCTCAATATATTCTAGTAGAGTTTGCTTTTGGACCCTATCCTTTTGCTATTAAACTACTAAGTTCAAGTTTATTGAATAATAAATTATAATATTGTCAAAATTAAATTTAAATCCTAACCTTAGTTATTCAGACCAATTAGCATTTACGATTTTTAATTATGACAGCTTACGACAAAAATATAAGTCACGAATATCAAAATCTTCTAGCAATAAAGAATACCATATTCGCATGCTTGTCGTTTTGATAATCAAACTTAGTTGAGATGTCTGCTTGGCGCATTGGTTGCTATGCGTTTTCGTCTGAAAGTTAGAGAATAATCCCAGAGTTACCATCGATAAAAGAGCGTTAAAAAATTCTACTCAGTGACTATAGGGTAAATTCTGCAGTTCTGGCGTGTTTTAATTTCATTTCGAATTTGATAGTGAATAATCCTGACTTGTGTATTTTTTTGTATGTTTTTTGTGTGTGTTGCTCAGTATGACTTTAATTATTAATATTACTTTATTAGAAACATTTAATTAGGCTACGCCTGTTTGTTTTTTAAATAAATTAATTAAAACGAGACACAAATGTGTTATCCAAGAAGTCAATTGGTAAGTACCTCAGTGAACTAACTTAAATTAAAGGAACAGAATATTCAATTTCGAAAGCTACTAAGATAATTAAAAGGTATATACTTCAAAACCCACCAATTAAAAATACAGATAGAACCTGAGCAACTACCAAAAATCTTGTAGATTTGCAAAGCATTTAGAAATGTCATTTTAGCCATAAGAACCACTTCTTCAAAGGAAGTTTCTGAGTAAATAAAAACAATATTTACCTGAAAAGAGCTCCAGGCCTTTTTTTACCTCTACAGTAGATCAAGTGCACATAGTAAACACAATTCTTCGGAAGAAAACAAACTCTCCTAAGCAACGCAAGCTTTTAATAAAATATATCATAAAATATTTTTCCACAAGCTGGAAACCCTGTTTCCAAAACAATATTAAAACATATTAAAATCATATTTAGTAGAACGATATTTCAGAATTAAACGGAAAAAAGCATGTTCTAAATTAATAAAAGTCAAGGCAGGAGTACCACAAGATACTGCAATTCTAGCTGCAGAAAAAGACCATAAAGAAGCGATCAGAAACATTCAAATGTCTATTAACCAAATTCATGACTTGACTAAAAGATGGCGCATTAACTTGAAAGAAAACAAGTCCATTGACGTAAACTTACTACAAATAAGTAAAAGCAACATATTCCAATTAGCCTTTTTCCTGGGAAGATTTAAAAAAGATCCGCTAGGGGCAGCACTGGTGGGGGGGTACATATATTTCGAATTATCTATTGACAAAAACGTCAAACGTACGTTTTATTATTATTAGAATAAATAAATATTGTGATAAATGAAATTAAAAAACAAATTGTCATGCCTACAAAACATTGTGCGTTTGCAAATTGTACGTCTGACAATCGTTACAAGCAGAATGGTGTAAAATTTGTGCCTTTTATAAAACCACAAGTTGACAAAAAAAAGTGTTTGGAGTGGATACATTTATCACGAAGGGCAGATTTAAAAAATAAAAAAAACATATTTTTATTTGTACAAAACATTTTAATAATTCAAATAGACCAACAATAGAAAACCCAAATCCATTTCCAGCGACAGTTTCAAAGGTTAGTAATTGTCTTTTTAAAGAGGTTATATTTTATATCAGTCTACATATTATTAT